AATACTTTGAATAAAAATGAAGTAAATAAAACACACCTTTCACTATTATCTTTGAATATTTTTCTTTTTTTATATTTCATTTTACACCACAACTGTAGCTTCCTCCACTGCCTCCTACCCTCCCATACCTTCCCACTAGTCCACCCCCAGTTCATTCCTCCTCACAGGTAGGGCTCCCATGAGGAGTCAACATAGTCTGGCACAATAGTCTGGGGCAGAGCCAGGCCCCTCTCCTATGCATTAAGACTGAGCATGGCATCCCACCATAGGGAATGGGCTCCAACAAACTAGCTCATGTACTGGGATTATATCATGGTCCTACTGCCAGGGGCCCCTCTGATAGCACAAGCTTCACATCTGTCTACCACCTATGGAAGGCCTAGTTCAGGCCCCTGGAGTCTCCATAGTTGAAGTTCTAGAGTTCATGAGTTTTCACGAGCTTGGGTCAGATGTCTCTGTAGATTTCTCTATCATGATCTTGATCTCCCTTGCTCATATGTTCCTTCCTCCTTCTCCAACTCTTGGTTGTGGATCCCTGTGTCTTGTTCCATCAGTTACTGAATGAAAGCTCTATGATGATAGTTGGGGTACTCATCAATATTATTACAGAGATAGGCCAGTTCAGGCATCCTCTCTACTATTGCTAGGAGTCTTAGCTGGGGACCTCCCTATGGATTCTTAGGAATTTCCCTAGCACCAGGTTTCTCCTTAAGCCTATAGTGCCTCTCTCTATTAAGATATCTTTTTCATTGTTCTTCCACTGGATCTCTCCCCACCTAAGCCATCTCATTCCCTCCTCTCCCTCCCTCACCCCTCCCTTACCATGCTTCTACCTCCAGTTTTCCCTGTAGATATCTTCTAATTTCTCTTCCCAGGGTGATGCATGTGTCCTTCTTAGGGGCCCACTTGTTGTTTAGCATCTCTGGAGCTGTGGATTTTAGTCTGGTTATCCTTTGCTTTACTAGTATCCACTTATGAGTAAATGTCTTTCTGAGACTGGGTTACATCATTCAGGATGGTATTTTTAGTTAACTTTGAATATTTTTCAACTCAGTTTTCCAGTCAAAGGACAAAGGCTAGTATAACAGATCAGATCATGATCAAAATATTTTTTTTCATTCTTCCTGGAAACATAGCTAGCAACAGACATAGACAATGTCTAGGAGAAAAGTATAGGCATGAAAATTTCAAGGAAGTGAAACTAACAAATGAGCACATGTTGCTACTCTAATACAAAAGAAAATACATACAGAAAATCAGTCTGAAGAGTTAAATAGATATTATTCTGGTAGAAATCACAATACATAAATAGGAAATTATAATTCTAAAAGAGTATACACTGAACTGAGGTGGTACCAATCACATAAACAATTACTACTAGATAGATACAAAGTTACAAATTAACCCCAGCACAATTATAATGGATTATTGCAGTACCCTTCTTTCACCAAGAGGAACACCATTCAGAGCATACACACACACACACACACACACACACACACACACACACACACACAGAGAGAGAGAGAGAGAGAGAGAGAGATTGACATTACAAGCCAACATAGACCAAATGAATTAACACATATTTACAAAAAATTCATCCTAAAACTAGAAAACACACATCATTCTTCTTAAGCCTATGGAATTTATACTTTCAAGTAGTTCCCATATTGGTATATAAAACAAGTCTCAGCAAATATAGGAAAATTTAGACAAGGTCTGCTATTCTATCTGACCACAGTTGAATGAAGCTAGAAACCAGCAGCAAAAGGAGCTACAGAATGTTCATAACCTTTTGGAGTTTAAAAACACTTTATTGAATGATGACCAAATCATTTAAGACATCAATAAGGAAACAAATTCCTAGAACTGAACAAAAATAAGGAGGGACTATCAAAGACCGCGAGATTCAGCGAAGGCAGTCCTAAGTAGGAAGTTTATAGCTTTAAGGGCCTCCATTACAAAAATCAAAGAAACCTCAAATAGATCACCTGAAAATGTACCTAGAGATTTTGGAAAGCCAAGATCTAGCACCTGAAAGTAGAAGACAGGGAGAAGTGAGTGGGAATAGCACAGGCTATTAAGTGGAAATAAAGAAAACAATACCAAGAATCAGGATATGGAAGAGGTAGCCCTTAGATAGTCCACTAATATTAAAAACACCCAAATGGCAATTGACAAGCATACTGAGAGAGTAATGTAAGGACGATTTTCATAATACTTAAAAATCAAAAGAATTCCCTCAATTTGAAGACCATTTATTAAAATATAAGACATACAAAAATTGATACAATTATTAAAAGCAGGAGCTCCAGTGGGCACAATCGGTTAGCACGTGGTACTTATACAATTATTAGAAGCATAAAATATAGGAACAAATTTTAAAAAAATATACAAGTATTATCACTGCAATTATATGGAAACGATTTTATAAACAGTAAGCATATATTTGTATACATCAAGTTGAGATGTTTAAAACTGCATGCGAAGGGAGTGATAATCTGCAGATACAAAATTGATAAGTAAGGAAGTTCCTGAAAGTTTCTCTGGCTTCAGGCCAAAGTCAAAGAAATGCTTTTCCACAGAAAGATATCCATTTGCAAGGAACTTGGTGTGGTTTATTCAGCCTCATGGCATAAATGTTTATTTCAGTTTCTGTATCCTCGGCCACAGAATTGTAATATGCCAATCTCAAACAACACAAAACGTAGCTTTGTCCCCAAGCATTTGATTTGTGTAAATTCATTTGATGTGCCCAGATGGTGCAAATAACTGTCATGTAATTTATCTCCTGGAAATGTCAAAACTTTATTTCTAACTATAATAAAACAGCATTATGATCTTCATGCAAGCTTTATTAGATCATAAACAATATATTGCCACAAGAGACATTAGTCTATATATCTGGAAGGAAAAGTAAAGGATATGATGAAGGCTATATAACTTTTGTGAGATCCAGACATTATGAACATATAAACCATTTCTTTCTTACAAACCAACTTATGCATTCGTATTGGAAGCATTTAAATATGGAAATATTACTTTAGTCTGGTGTTGTATTCATCCTTAATAAACAGAGGATCAAGTACAACCTGTACATAAAAAATGTAAGAAACTGAAATCATATTATTCGGGGTGAAGACTGTTTCTTAAGTGCAGTTCTGGAGGTATCAAGATTTTCAGGCTAATTCATCCCCAAGTTGACAGAAGAGGGGAGAATTGCATGCAGCCCAAATTAGCTTCCCACAGAATCTCCATTCTGTGCCTCCAGTGGCAAGGTCTGGGGGCACAGAAGGAAACTCTGCTTCATGCGGTGCAAATAGTTGCTTTTCATATGGATTATAGAGATTCTCCTGGGTTTATTTTCAAGCAGATCCCATCCATCATTTTCATTTCTTCGCCTTTGTCTCATTTTAGTGTGAATAGTGCTAACTCAGTTTGGCCAGTATAGGTATCTGGTCACCGTCAATGTTGCCACTGTCCTCATCCTGAGCTGACATCTGATTTCACAGAACAGGTCTAAACACAAACCTGGTTAACTCAGTGCCACCAGAGCCTCTCATCTTTCTGTGTATCAGAAGACAGATACAGGTGGATCTCTGTGAAGTCAAGACCACCCTGATCTACATAAGGAGTTCAAATCCAACTAGGGCTGTGCAGTGAGACCCTGCCTCAAAGAGGGGGTGTGGAGTGAGAGAGATGTTCAAAGATTAAAAGCATTTGTTGCCCTTGAAGAAGACCCAAGTTTGATTTTCAGGACCCACATAGCCAGGGTATCTGACTCCCCCTTCCTGTCTTCTGAGGGCACTAGGTATGAACATAGTGCATATACATGCATGCAAGCAAAACACACATACACTTAAAATAAAGTAAATAAAACTAAAAATGATGCCATATGCATAAGAATTAAATTAGATGTTTATCAACTCTGAGGCCATCAAAGATCTTCACTGAAGAGTTGAAAGCCATAACTTGCTAAAGGAAAACACAGCGACCAGAGAGGCGACTCAGGGGTTGAGAGTACCATTGCTTTTGCTGAAGACCTGGAGTCAGTAGTGCTCAGCACCCACATGGTGGAGTAAAACCATCTATACATTCAATCCCAGGGGAATTTATGCTCTCTTATGAACTTTATGGGCATCAGGCATGCATGTAATGCACATAAGAGATTCAAACAATGCATTCACAAGGATAAATAAAAAAAAATTTAATATAGGTACAGCGGAAGACTTTCTTAACAAGACCTCAGGTCAACAACTGTCAATTAAGGCTCATGAAATTAAAAGACTCCTGCATAGCAAATAACACACACACACACACACACACACACACACACACACACAAACAACCAAGTCAATAAGTATCCCACAGAATGGAAGAAATTCCTTGCACACTATACATTTAACAGAGAACTAATGCCTAAAATTTATAAAGAACTCAGACGACTGAACAACAACAATGACAAAAACAACAAAATATCAGCCAATTCAGTTACTGAGTAAGCTAATGAACTAACAGTTCTCAAAAGATGAAATGCAAATGGTCAACACACATGGAAAATATGTTCAAGTTCACTTACCTTTGAGGAACTGAGAAACATTTAGCTTCTATCTTATCCTAGTCAGCATGACAACTAAGAAACCCAGTAACAAACTCTAGAGTCTGTTGGTATGTATCTCCCCAGATCCAAGGATGCCTTGGATGGGTAGGTAAGCTAATGATCCCAGTAAGATGGGTTTATGACATTAGAGAAAGGTATTGCTGTGTTTGGGATCCTTGTTGAGGAGGGATAGGTGAGAATTGGGATGTCTCACAGGTCAGATTTCACCTAGGAATGTGTGAGGGTGAATGAAGTTCCAGTGGCCATTGGTCTGAAAGTGAGTGCGTTTCTGAGGCTCCTGGGTGATTTTAAGTGAGTGAGATGGGGAGGATGGAACATGACAGGACAGAGCTGTCCTAAGGAAGCTTTATTCCCACACCCCTCCCCACCCTGTCGTGAATCAAGAGCACTTGTTGTGTACTATATCGGGACCATGTTCCTCATACTGCTCACGCTGGATCCAGCGGGACTGGAAGGCACACAGTGAGGCCAGAATGGACCCTCCAATCCACACAGAGAAGTTTCTATTGGGCTGGGCCATCACAACTACACGGGCATCAGGACTCAGACATTGCAGCAGCTCAGCCCTGAAGCGGCCTTCGAAGCCAGTGAACAGAGAGGAGCCTCCGCACAGCAGCACATTCTGTTCCATGTCGGCCCGCAGCTCCTGGGGCACTGCGCAGAGGCTGTGTTCCACCATGCCGGGGAGGCCCAAAGATGAAGGTCCCGAGGTCTCCGGGGGATGGAATAGTAGTTCAGGGCACTGGAAAAGCTCCTTCCCGACTGTGATCATCTGTCCATCTGGCAGCTTCAGGCACCGCCGCAATTTGCTATCAGGGCGATCTTGCTCCTTCTGGAAATCTGAGGCCACGTAGCAGTAATGATGCTTGATGCTCTCCATGGTGTCAATGTCTTCCTTCTTCAGTGGCAAGTTCGATCTCAAGATTTTCTCTGCCAAGAACGTAGTCAAGTGGTGGCCAGCCAGGTCCAGGCGCTGGATGCCATTGGGTAGGTTGTAGCCTTGGAAGACTGGCACTGTGTAGCTGACCCCATGGCCAGTGTCTACCACCAGCCCGTTAACGCGCCCATTGGCATAGACCGACAGCACAGATTGGGATGCCACATATATAGCAGGGGAGTGCAGAGACTCGAAGGCTAGTTCCACCAGCTTCTCACGGTTGCTGGCAGGGCTGAAGGGTGGATCTGTGAACAACAGAGGATGGTCTTGGGTGACCACCCGGAGGTCATTCTCCAGGATGTGGTGGCAGATGAGCTCAGCTGCTTCCCAGTCCACCACAATACCATTATGAACTGGCTGCATCAGGGTTAACTCCGGGCAAGCATGGGCGGCCTCACCAATATACGTCTCCATCTTGGGCTGGCCCATGGTGGTTTGTTTCTTGGGTTGGCAGCCCACAATGTTGGTCACGACGTAGGTGGGCCGAGTCTGTCCTGCGAAGCCCATCTTACACGTACCAGAACCCATGTCGATGACCACAGCACACATTTTTGTTGGCAACTTGTTACCAACCATACCACAGGGTTCTTGTTGCAGATTCTTGTGTCCTGGGCTTGAGCGAGGGTTCGGATCAAGTGACTTGTGGGGCTCCCAGCGCTTGGGACCATTTATATCCATCGTTGCAAATGGATTCGGTGAGGCTGATTGACAATGTTGAGGCCTTTACTCAGGGGTGCAGGGAAGAAGAGGCCCAGCTAGGACCAGCGTGAGCAGAATGGGAGAGGTGCACCATGGTATCTATGAGATCACTCTACCTGCCTTAGCTTCACAATGCAAGGGCAGGGTGTGGTCAGAAGAGGTGCACCCTGCCTTCCTCAGGCTCTACAGCTGATTAAGACCACAAAGCCAAATATGGAGTGTAAGGAGTACGGTTTTTCTACCTGCTGCCAGTCTTGTCTTGTCCCACCGCCTCGCCAGCCCCAAATAACACACAGAGACTGTATTTGATATGATGCTGTTGGCCAGGTACTAGTTTCTTATCGGCTAGCTCTGTCTTAATTATTAACCCATTTCTGTTAATCTAATATTTCCACATGTTTCTCTTACTGGGGAGCCGGCTGGCATTCTGCTTTCTCCAGACTCTCCATCTTGACTCCTTCTTACTACTTCCTCTTTCCTCCTTGTCCCCTAGTCCTGCCTATCTTGCTTTCCTATTGGCCAACAGTGCTTTATTCATTAAGCCAGTATGAGAACATATACAGAATGACACCTCCCATCAATGGAGAGCTAGGCCTGGCCTTTGCTCAACTCTTTGATTTCACATCATCTCTGCCACAATTAATATCCAGCAGCTAGGGCAGTTGGAGTAGAGTATTCTGATGTAGGAATTTAGTAGAGTCGCTATATCAGCGGTAGATATTAAAATGAACAGCCGTTTTCTGGAAGTACTTTGACCTTGAAGAATCCTTGTGGAAAACTGATTGTTTTCTGTGTTTTGTAGGATTGTTTTACTGAAGGGGCATTGCAGCCATCCCATGACTTTGGACACGAGACACCTCAGTCACATCCGAGGCTTTGCGTTATTGTGTATTGCAAACAACACATAATAAAGAACCAAAGTCATGAGGACATGCGATGCTTCCCTTCAGTAAGACAAGTGAATTTGAATAGGGACCTTGGTATGAGGAAACATTTTGTGTAACAATCAATAAATACACCTACGTATGGCTGTTCCTGTTTCAGTCCAGTAGAGAAGCTGGACCTTTCTGCTGTCCAATAGGCCTTCAAATTTCATCTTGGAGTGTCTTTTTTCTTCAACAGACTTCCACTACATCCTGGCAGCATTCTGTGGGTGGAACCTGGCAGTTAGAGGTCCTCTGCGAAGGGCCTGGTCACACTTGTGGCTCTAGGGGCTTACAATATTCTACATTGTCCTTATTTTCTTCTGTCATTTGCTTGTGTTTTTTCATCCATCAATCATTTTGCTCCTACTCCCTTTGAGTAAGTTCACACGCTTTTCCTGCTTAAACATGATGTTTTACTGCTTTGGCCTCCTTGAACATGATGTTTTACATGCTTTAGCCTCCTTGGACATGACTGGTTTTGACTTCTGTATACTAGTTATCATTTAACTTGCTCTCCTTAGTGGACACAGCTACAGCTTGTGATTTGAGTAAATGGAATTTTGTCTAAGTTTTTGAAGGGGCTCTAGTAAGCCTCAGCATGGCAAACATGGCTCAGGGAGGCCTTGCGGCTCCCCATTCCCTCCTCCTTGCTAAAAATCATTAAATTACGATTTTAAAGCTAACCACCAAGGTCTGTTCCCTTATTTGGCCACTTCCTCCTCCTCCAGGAGTTGACTACCAAGGTCTAGCAATTAAGCATTTAAGTCTAGCAATCAAATGCCCCCTTTGGCTAACCTAATTAATATTTCCAATTAAAACATACCACCACATCCCAGTCCATTCTAACACAGACCTCCCTCCACCTTTTTCCTCTTAAAAAAAAAAATCACACTTTCAAGTATGTTTGCTGCTGGTTTTCTGCCCAAGTCAGAAATCAGACACTTTCTCCACGACTTAATAAAGTATCTCTCTGTGAAGGTAGGTGTTTGGGTGTGGTTTGTGCCTAATTCGGGGTCAAGGAGGGCGCACCCTGCTGTGGGCGGGTCCCTTCAGTTTTAATGTTGTGTTTTGGGAATGGAACACAAACACATCAGAATTTAGGGTGTTTGTTGTCTTTTCGCTGTGCGTTTTTAGGCCAGAAGGTTGATATTCCAAGGTGAGAAGTTAGGTAACTGACCCAGTGTGGGATCAGATACCGGGGTGCAGCATCCTCCTGGATGCAGTTCTGGTCTAAGCTGGCAGCAAGCGTGTGTGGAGTCTGTGCAGAGCGGGTCCAGGGCAGCCTGACAGCTGCAGCTGTGTGGAAGGGACCGGTCTCAGTGGGGAGGGGACAATTGCCAGAAAACTAAGAAAGGGAAAGCGCCTGGCGTGGGCGGGTTTAGGAGAGCCACGGTGACCAGATCCGGGTTGTAGTGGGCGGAGCCAGAGATGAGCTCTAAGGATCCAGGCCAGAGTGACAGGGAAACCCACCATTCACCGTGGGAACACAGGGAGCCCCGTAGTCCAGAATCCGGGGCGGAGGACGCCGGCTCTTTCAGGAAGAGGTGAAAACTCCCGGTAGCTACAGGTTCCCGGTCCGGTGTCCTGGGAAAGTGACAGTCAGCCGCGCAGTGGCGGGAACCGCAGCCCGGCGGCCCTGGAACCTCCCAGGTGAGAGGAGCTGCGGGGCTGGGACCCAGGAGGGAGGGGACCGGGCTGTGCTCGCTGAGGCTGCTCAGAAGGACACGGCTTTCAAAATTCTCTTGTGGATATCGTTCCGATGTCCGTAAGTTTGAGATCTTATAAACTGGGACTTACTGTGATTTTTTTTTTTTTTAAATTATCTTATGGTTGCCAGAACATTTTCAGAAAATAACCTGATAGAGCGGTTTTTTTTTTTTTTTTTTTTTTTTTTTTTTTTTTAATCTCTGCAAACACGTTCTCTTTGCTATTATTGTGCAGTCACAAAGCTCCTGGAATTTAAATCCATCTTAACTCCCCTGTTTTACCTCTTTCCTATTTAGGAGAGTGGCCTTTCCTTTCTTTGCCCCTGGGATGAGGCACGCAGAGAGAGCATAGTAGGTAGTAATCACATGAGGACATGTGCTGGGTTGATTGAATCAGAAACTGCAATGTGACAGGACAAGACAGTGCAGAGGTTCCTCCATCTTGTATCCTTGCTGACGCCGTTTCCAGGGTTAACTAGAATCCGATTTCCTTGATCGAGAACCCAATGTAAACTACCCAACTCTCTTCATGGAACCAAAGGTCAGGATGCCCTGGCTGACCTATCTTTCTTAGCTTTTGTTAAAACTGCTTGTTTGAGGAGAACATCGTCCAGTTAACCTTTTATCCTAGTTGCCTGTGTGTGCGGGAACCTCCCCTTAGGCAGGCTAACATCTTATCTTAGCTTCTGGTAAAAACTGCTTGCTTCAACCTGCTTATGCTGCAAAAACTTCCCCTGCAACTGGACCGAGGGCTCTGTCCTTAAAAATCCCATGTTCTGGATACTTGGAGTCTCGCTTGGGTCGCCAAACACCTGGGTTTGGCCCCACTGGCTGGAATAAAGACTTTGAGATGATGATAAAGTGTTTGAGAGCTAATCTCTGGCGGGCTACGCATAGCATTGCTTCATCAAGTGTCCCAGCTTTGGTTGAGAACATCAACTTTTACTAAGCAAACTTTCACTCCCCGTTAATTTTCCATCTGAGACACATGTGTTGTAGGATGTCAATGCGGCATTCAGAAGCATGTGTTCATGTACTACGTTCTTGCTGTGACCTCTTAGGTCCAGACAAGTGCAGTATGCCTGCTGTGAGAGGATATCAGGCCAGGCCACACTATTTTTATAGTTAGAAAAACTCAATATAGATGGAGACAAAACGAGATAGCACCGTTTGAATACTCTGCCCATACACACTGGCCAAACTTGGTTTTTTTTTTTTTTTTTTCTTTTCAGGGTTGGTCGATATTGACTGTGGGTTTCAGTCTTGTGGTGGGACTGGGAATGCCTAGACCCTGCTCACATGGCTCTACATAGAGATCTGTTGAAGAACTGTAGCAGCCTGGATTCTGAGAGTGAGAATAGCCTTGTAGTCTCCCTTGCTCTTCAGAGAACTGCTCTGCATGTGTGTGAATGAGCCTTACAGAGTAAAGCGAATTCCTCAGAGAGAGAGAGAGAGAGAGGTTTTTGCTGATATTTTTCTCCCTCCTTGATGTTTATCTTTTTTTCACAGGCATTAGCATCTTTCGTTTTTGTTCCATGAAAAATTCCAGGTGCTTTCTGAAGAATCTCTTTCCCATGTGCAAGTCTGACGCTGGTCAGTCAGTCCTGCTCACCCGTGAAGCAGAGCATAGAGCTCCGGATGGAGAAGAAAGAGGAGACAGTAGCAAGGGACCCAGGTATGTTAGAGGGACTGAGGAAGAGGTAGGGAGGTGCCGAGTGTTTTGTGTTGTTTGGGTTAGTCGAACAAAGAAGGTCACTCCAAGATGAATTTTAGGTCCTTTTTGATGATGGCTTCACAAAAGTTGTTGGTTTTTTTTTTTTTTTTTTTTTTTTTTTTTTTTTTTTGAAAAATAAGTTCCTCATACCAAAGCCCTGATCTAAACTACATGTTTTCTGAAGAAAAAACATCACACCCCTGTAGCATGAAAACTAAAAGACCAAGAGACAGATATTGGGGTTCAAGCTTCAAGATGAAGATCAAAGAAGCAAAACAGCCAAGCCAGTAGATCTTAACCTTACCCAACTGAAATGGCAAATCCTGTGTCCATGAATCCTTATTTCCTTCTCAGCCTAGCCATATCACTCCTGTCTCCACCTCCCTAGCGCTGGGATTAAAGGCTTGTGCTGAAATCACCAGTGTGTAAGATGTTTCTCTTAGTACTGGATCACTTTTGTGGAGTCAGTGTGGCCTTGAACAGAGATCTGTCTAGGTCTTAATCCTGAGTCCTGGAATGGAAGGTGTGTGCCACCACTGCCTGGCTAGCTGGTATGGCTTCTGGGATTAAAGGTGTGCATCACCACTTCATGACTTCTATAGCTTGTGGCTGGCTTTGCTTTCTGAATCCTCAGGCAAGCTTTAATAAACCAAAAATAATATATCACCACACACCCCTGCCACTTCAGTCCTTATTGTGTACTGTTTGTTGTACCCAATAATTCAAGATAATCGGGTGAGTCTGGATAATCTTGTGACCAAAAGCATGCAAAGGTTGTAAAGCTGCTTCAGAAAGCAACTCTAAATCACAGAAAACAATCATTGCCTTCCACACTGATTTCTTCAAGGTCTAAGTACATTTAGAAAACAGCTATTCATTCTAATGTTTACCCTCCATAGAGTGACTCCGATAGAGTCCCACTACTGGGGGGGGGACTCAAGCGACAGTAGAAACAGGGTGAGGATGTGCAAACTGAGGTTTCAGAACTATCCAACACAACTGGATGATGCTGATTCTTAGTCCTCCCAAGAAACTGTCATTTCAATTTAAATGAGCATTGGAATCACTTAAAATATTAATGGTTGTTTCAAATTTTAATAAAACACCTAATAAAACTTGATTAAATGTAGCAAGTTCAGACCAATGAGCTATACAAGGGGTACAGCTTGTGTGTGTGTGTGTGTGTGTGTGTGTGTGTGTGTGTGTGTGTGTAGCATATGGAATTTGGATATAAAACATACGTTTCATGTCCTTTTGAAGAGCCATATGTAAAAGCATTAAAGTTAATCTCTACAGGCAATGAACCCATAGGGTATCTTTAAAAATATTAAAAGGGGATTTTTTGGATAGTGATTACAGAGCACAAGTAACATGCTAATGCAGCCTGCGGCTGATTATCAGTGGGGAACAAATCAACTTACATTTTATTTAATGGCACAATGATTTCTGTGGGCTGTTTGCCAGGAAATTCTTTAAGATGTGTCCTTCCCACCATTATTAAGTGTATAATTTCTTGTAAATAAGGAGTTACAGATTTTTGTACATAATTGTGACATGAATACATTTCTATAATACCCTTACCGTGTTGACGTATACTTCCAGCAGGAGCTGAAGGAAGGATAAGTAACTGATAAGGAGGTGAGAGATTAATTCTGAGTTACTGCTTCAACAGCAGCTTTATTTAATAAGCTAATTATCCACTCTGCTTCAGGTGTTACATTTCTTATAGAATTTAGCCAGAAGTCTCCAGCAAGCAACTTAAAGAGGAGAGCTAAATCCTCAGTAGTGGTAGGCAGATAAGAGTGTAGCCAATTGACCTGTCCCAAAGTTTAAATTTTGCTCTTTAGTTTATTTACCATGAAATTTAAGCATGCATTTAAGTGTTGATTTGATGAGCAAGAGAAGAGAAGGTCATCCATGTAATTAATCACCAATGCCTCAGGGAATTTAAGCAGCTTAATGTCCTAGTTGCAATTGTTCCTGTATTAGAGGTTGGGTCTGATTTAATTTCTCCCAATGAAGGGACCCTTCATAAATCTATATTGAGTTTTTTTTCCAAAGTGAGGAAAAATCAAACAAAAAACTTAAGTTCTGGGGCAACCAGACTAACACTTGTGTCCCTGCTTATCAGGAATGCCTCAGATGTCTGTGCTCTAAGCTAAGCCAGACCCCAGCCGGGAAGAGGTTTTGGGGCTGGAGGACTTTGAGTTCCAGTCCACTTGTGTGGCCCTGAAACACACACATGGCTCATGTGGAGGCTGAGTGGCTGTGGCATTCATTTGGCCAGGTGTAAGGAGTAAGGTTTTTCCTCCCGCTGCTGGTCTTGTCCCGCCGTGCGCCAGCCCCAATTAACACACCGAGACTCTGTATTTGATATAATGCTGTTAGCCAGGTACTAGTTTCTTATTGGCTAGCTCTGTCTTAATTATTAACCCATTTCTATGTATTTCCATGTGGTCTTACCACGAGAGGCGGCTGGAGGTTCTGCCTTCTCCAGACTGTCCATCTTGACCCCTCCTTACTACTTCCTCTCTCCTCCTTGTCTCCTAGTCCCACCTATATTGCTTTCCTATTGGCCAACAGTGCTTTATTCATTAAACCATTATGAGAAACATATATACATAATGACATCTCCCATCAGCCAGGCGTGCCAAAATGTGTCCAGCAGAAAAGTTTTTCTCTCTCTCATTTATTTAATAATTGACAGGGATCTCTCTCTCCCCTTTGCAGGGTCTCTCTTTACATTAGTTCCTGTGTAATAAAGTCGCAGAGCTATAGCTTTGAATATTTTGTTTTTCTGGATCTTGACAAACATTTCAGTAACTGTATAGAATGCTTTGTTGCAGAGGAGTGAGAAGAACCCGTGTTAATTCCAATATCTCACTTATGGTTGTGAACCCTTGGGCAAGAGGCCGAGTTTCCCAAACCCAGAGTTTCTATTTAAAGTAAACACGTTTCATCTTCTCAGAGGACTGGACTCCTCTCATTGATATTTGTGATTGTGATTTTCCTGTGACCATGTGACTGTATTCATATGTATTTTGTGTGAAATGTCAGTATTTTGTTGATGGGAATTGCATCAATTCTGCTGGTTGCTGTTAGTAATATAATCATTTACACTACGTCATTTGTCATTCAGAGTGTGTGGCAGTCCATTTGCTTGTGTTCAGACTTATTCCTGGACCTTTCCGAAGCAACCTGAATAAGCTGGATTTCTAATTTAATTCTCAAATGGTCATTATAGATTTGTAGAGGAACTGATTATTTTATGTGTTAGTTTTGTATTTTTCAGTAATAGCCGAAATTTGTCAAGTCTAAGAGCTTCCCATGGCATCTGTGGGGGAGTTTTGTGTGTGACTTGTCATCATTAAAGAGGAGGTTGTTGCCTTTACTTCCTACCTGTACCTCCCTTTATCTTTTGGCTTATTTAGATTTCTCTATGCCACTGTTGTGACCCTGGAGTAAATGAGACTGGAGCTTGCATGCATCTTTCTTCTGTTTACAGCTTTCCTGTTTATGCTGTTCATGTTTTTCTCTGCATAGTACTATTGGCCTATGGGGGACACATGTGCCCTTTACTGTGTTTAGTCATGTTCCTTTTCTCCCTAGTTCCTTATAAATTCTCATTGAACATTGAATGCCATCGACATGTTAATTTCTACTGAGATTTTCATATCACGGGGCTTTTATTCCTTATGAGTTTTAAAAAATTTCTGGTTGGTGTAATCACTGGTAGTGTTTTCATCCCTCCACTCAGAAATGGTGTTTGCATGAGTTGGGCATGGTATGTTGTGTTCCTCCCAGCTCTTCCTTTCTGCGTCTACTCTTTATGTAAAATGTCTTTATTTCCTGTTTTCTCATGGATCACTTCTGTGTGATTTTTCTACTTATAGTTTTCCTCCAATTATGATTTTTAGTTCTGTTTGAGTGGCTAACATGTCTAATTTGTAACTTCCTTCAAATGCAATTCCTTCTTCATGAATTTAAAAAGCCTATATTTCTGGGTGCAATGATAATGTTCACAGTTACATTCTTTCCTCCCGGAAAATATATTTTCCCATGCTCTAATGTCTATAGAAATGTTGACAATACCTCTGGTATCATTTTTCATTTGGGGGTTTTGTTATATGGGTTAGCATTGTTTATAATAAGGTCGTACTAATTTTAGCTTTTTATTGTCGATATCTTTATCTGAAATGTCTAGGAAGAGTTACAGTCTTTGCTCCTAAGACAGAAACTCAGAGAAAAGCAACAGTGACAATGGCTGCTTCTCCAATAAATGCTATCCAGGTAGGCATCATGTCCATATTTCTTTGAAAAAAAAAACTTTTTTTTTAAATCGAAACCATGCAAGCCTTTAATTCCTTGCCCAAAGTGTATATTCCCTATTATTTTCTTCTTCTTTTTTCCTCTGATAATTAAGATTAAACCTTTAAATTTGTCACCTATGTTGCTCAGTCTTGTCCCATTGTATCCTCCCTTGATTATTACAGGGAGGACATATATTTTCCATGCACTTAAGACCTGCAATTCAGAAAGATTCCATTGTGAATGATGATCAAAGAAATATATGGATGCCCATTTCCTATAGATGCTGGACTTGGGTCTTTTAGTGAGGAGTAAAGGTGTCATGGGCCACATAGGTTCCATTTCAGGAATGATAATGTTTCCAGAACCTTGTTATGAAAGTATCCCTAGAAATACATGGGTCTTTTGGGCTACATCACTGAGCTCTTTATGGAAAAGTAGAACTGGAAGAGACTCAGAGGCTTAACTCTTACTAGTAAGTATTTCAGCATCCTAGAGTGCAGAGCTGATGGATGGAATTTGTGCCTTGCTCTTGCTATAAAACTGACTTTCCTGAGAGGAGATGCAGATTGCAGTATAATGGCTTTTTCTCATAACTATTTGCTGTTATACACAAGTGATGGATGGGTGTGCTGACACATGAAATCTAGTTGTCTCAGGAGAGATGCTGCTCATGTCTTTCTCCTGATAACAAAATCATGCTCAGTGCGAAATTCTCAACAGACACATCAGAGTTTTCTTTGCCTTTTGCTTTAGTTTCCAGACAAGGCGTAAGCAGTCCTGTCCCCACCTCTTTTTCTATTATCTAGAATTTTCTAGAGGTATGGACTTGGTGCTGTACACAAGCCATTGATTTTCAAGCATAAACAAATGTCTTTCTTAATGACTCTGCTCTCTTCTTTGGGCAGAGAAAGGCTCCCCTCCCCCACATGTTTCCTTTCCCTGAAGCTATGCATCACATAGGCAGAGATTCTGTAGAGAGGTGGCAGTGGACAGGTTTCCATTTCTTACATTAAACAAAAAGTGAGTTATAAAACATGTTCATTTCCATGTTTTTATGGGTACTGCTTGGACCCATTGATGCATATGGAGCCCTGAGGTTGGCACCAAACCCTTGGCATGGGATTAAAGCACTGTAGTAAGCTCCCATGTGTATTGTGTATTGAGAATTAAACTGTATGTTTCTGTAGGGAAAACAAGTGCCCTTTACCTCTGAGCCATCTTTCCATCTGTTGGGTTTACCTTTTTAGTGCACATTCATGATGGAGCTAGGGTATATCCTTGTGTCTTCTATTATTTTTGTAAATATGAAGGAAGAATTATAAATGATACTTATCTATGAAATGTAAAATCATGTTAGACTATTGAGTTCAAATACAAAAGAAAAGCATAGAGTTGAAGCCTGGCAGGTGTGGTGCATGTCTTTAATCCTAGCACTTGGGAGGCAGAGGCAGGTGGATCTAGGTGAGTCTGAGGCCAGCCTGGTTTACAGAGCAAGTTCCAAGACAACTAGTGCTACATAGAGAAACCAAGAAAAAAAGAGTTGAATTTATGAGATTCAAATTTTCAATTGAGACATTGTCATGAACAAAAATATATTCAAAGTTAATGAAGAGTTAGCATCATTCTCACACAACTTAATACAATCTTGTTGATCATAGAAAGTTTTTCTACTTTATATAGGACATGTATTTATACATATTTTTCTAACAATTGTCTAGTGAACTCTATAGGGAATTTCTGAAATTTTAATTCATTTGGGTTGGTTTTGTTGACATTTAGAAAAATGTAGAAATGTTAATGCTGATTTTTCTACTTGATGCTTGTGAAAAATATTCTCACTACAATAGCTTCACAAAGTAAATGAGTCTATATTTTGTTTGGAATGTTGGATGTCTCCACTGATACTACTTACTGACTAAAGCAAACACTAACTTTTAATTCATCGATGAATTATACATTCCCTATACTACTTCTTTGCTTTAGAAAGGGTGCAGCATTGCATCTGGACCTCAGGATTTCCACTGGGTATGTTAGAATAGAGTCAGGTGAGGCCCATCTGTGGACAGGACTGATACAGTGTCCATATTTAAGCAAGGTTGACAGTTGTATAATTGGAAGCACAGTTTTGCTCATATCTTTTCCATCTATGAAGCAGCAATGTGATCTTGTTTAATTTCAACATAGCCTTCATAAAGATACATCCTGATCCTAGACCTCAAATGCATATCTTACATTCCCTCAGAGTTTGCTGATTGTGGGTCTGTTATACCATCCTGTTTTCACAGAGATAGAAAATACAATATTGATTATGAAATTTCTAGAATGTATCTTTTATTAACTTTCACTTTTATGTGTGTGTATATGTTGTATTTGTCTGAATGTTTACATGAATAGTATTTGTACTTCTGTCCTATAGAGTTCACAAAACAGCATTGATTGACCTGGAGTTATACTCTATTGTGAGGTTGCTGGGAACCAAACGTGGGTCCTCTGGAAGAGCCACCAGTGATATTAACTTCTCAACTATCTCTGAAACATTGTTAGAAAACTTTTGCCTTTGAGTAATGCTATGTCCCATCTATATCATGAAAGTGTCTCTAATTCCTTAGATCTCTTTTACCCACGAAAGTATTTTTTTTCCCCCAAGAAATAGTAATTGGGTAATTTTCCATTGCAGGGTCTGTTGACATTCAGGAATGTGGCTGTGAACTTTTCCCAAGAGGAGTGGGAATGTCTAGACTCATCTCAAAGGGCTCTGTACATGGATGTAATGTGGGAGAATTACAGCAATCTAGTTTTTGTAGGTAAGAATGCTTTTCTTGAACAATTCCTGACTCTTCTTTTGTATGTATCTATTTTGAAGGTTGGGAACTCTCTGATCTGGCCAGAGACTGCCAGAAATAATGGAAATTCTTATAATAATAACCATAACTTTACATTTTCAGTGTTCTCTGCAAGAGCAATGGATGCTATATACTGTTCAATCTGTCCAACCCTCTTAACTGGTTTTTAGTCCTTATTTGAGAGTTCAAAGGAATTGAATATTCAAAGCAAGGAAATTCATTGTAGTACACTTAGTTGTTGAATATTTTTATTTTTACGTTGGGTTAAGCTATTCACCTATTTCTGATTTCAAAAAAGTGAGGCGATTTTAAATTAGAGAAAGAGCTGTTGGTGGTGTGCATAATGTTTAATTTTTTTTTTTTTTTGAGATATAGTCATTAGTCCTGGCATAGCATGATTTTAATTTTGTCAGTAGGGAGGCTGAATCAAGTGGATCTCGTGAGTTCCATGCCAACTTGTGTTATATAGTGAGTTTCCAGCCAACGAAGGCTACACAGTGTGATGCAGAAAATATAAACAAGGAAAAGGAGAAGCATTCTCCAAATGATTATTAAGAGAGCTCCTTTCTCAAAGTACATTATTGCTCTATCACCTATTTGTTCAAATCTCTTCAAAGTATGAGGATTGGATAAGAATGAAAAGACTATTATTGGTCCTTGTGGGTTGATGGAGATCAGAATGGAGGTTCTTCTGAGCATCCATTTAATGACAATGAAACACAAAAGGCCTCTGGTGAAAGTTCTATTCCTATGATTTGCTAATTTATTTGTCTTAGAGAACTTCAGGATGCAACAGTTATTGAATCTGTTTAATAAAGCATCAATCCTTATTATCCCTAATTGTGTTAATTTTCCAGAGAACCATTGTATTTGTGGTAAATATAAGAATGTCTTGAATCGAAGCTCAAAGCATATTGTCCATGAGGATGTGAATACCCAAGAGAAGTCTCACAAATGTTATGAGCTGGGCAAAACGATTCATGAATCCTTCCAGTGTATACCCTATACCACAAATGGTACTATAGAAAACTGCAAGAACTACAGAAGTGATTACCATAGGGATACTTCTACTGAGTCATCAAACCTAAAGAGACATGAAAGTAGGAACACTGCAGAAGAACACTATAAATATAAAGATTATGGAAAGTGTTTATATATATGTTCCACCATTAGCCAGTCTCAACGAATTCATACTGGAAAGGGTGAAAACAAAAATTCAGATTATGATGAACTTTTTGACTCTAAACATGAACTTACAATGAAACTAATCCATAATGGAAAGAAACCACACCAATGCAGAAAATGTGGAAAATGCTTCAGGACCTATTTGAGTCTCAGTAAACATCAGAGAACGCATCCTGGAGAAAAACCCTATAAGTTCATAGAATGTGATAAGTCTTCTTTGCATTTGTCACACCATAAAGTACACAACACCCATTATAGAGGAAAACCCTACAAATGTACAGAATGTGGCAAGTGCTTTTATCATTCATCAGGCTTTAAAAGATGTTGTAGAATCCACACTGGAGAGGAGACTTACAAATGTAAAAATTGTAGAAAATCCTTTATCTGTTGCTCAGTTCTTAGAAAACATCAGAAAATTCATGGAAGAGAGAGGCCTTATAAATGTAAACAATGTAGTAAGTCATTCTATACATTGTCACACCTTGAATACCATTATAGACGGCACAGTGGAGAGAAACTTTACAAATGTAATGAGTGTGGCAAATCCCTTTCTACCTCCTCAAGTCTTAAAAAACATCAGAGAATTCATACAGGAGAGAAAATTTACAAATGTAGTGAATGTGGGAAATCCTTCACCTTTCGCACATCTCTTAGACTGCATCAAAGAATTCATACTGGAGAGAAACCTTACAAATGCAATGAATGTGGCAAATGCTTTATCCAGAAAGTCAACCTTAGAACACATCAGACAATTCATTCAGGAGAGAAACCTTACAAATGTAGTGAATGTGGGAAATCCTTTACTGTTGGCTCTGGTCTTAGAAGACACCAGACAGTTCATACTGGAGAGAAACCTTATAAATGTAGTGAATGTGGGAAATCCTTTACCATTGTCTCAGACCTTAGAAACCACCAGAAAATTCATACTGGAGAGAAACCTCACAAATGCAGTGAATGTGATAAGTGCTTCATCTGGAAAGCTGATCTTAGAACCCATCAGAAAGTCCATACAGGAGAGAAACCTTACAAATGCAATGAATGTGGAAAATCATTTACCACTGGCTCAGGTCTTAGGAGACATGAGAGAATTCATACAGGAGAGAAACCTTACAAATGCAGTGAATGTGACAAATATTTTGTTCAGAAAACCAACCTTAGAAGACATCAGAGAATCCACACAGGAGAGAAACCTTATAACTGTAGTGAATGTGGGAAATCTTTTAATACGGACTCATATCTTAGAATACATCAGAAAATTCATACTGGAGAGAGACCATACAAATGTAGTGAATGTGACAAATACTTTATCCAGAAAGCCAAGCTTAGAATACATCAGAAAATTCACACAGGAGAGAAACCTTATAACTGTAGTGAATGTGACAAATGCTTTATCCAGAAAGGCAATCTGATAAGTCATCAGAGAATACATACAGGAGAGAAACCTTACAAATGTAGTGGATGTGAAAAATCCTTTACCATTGGCTCAGTTCTTAGAAAACATGAGAAAATTCATACCGGAAGAAACACACTAATCCTTTATTCAGGAAGCCAGGTTTAAAACTCATTAATGAATTAATACAGGAGAGAACCTTACAAATATAGTGTATATAGCAAAGTCTTTACCACTCTCAGGTCTAAGAAATGAGTAAATTCAAATGGGAGACTAAAGTTTCCAAATTAAATAATGTGGCCTATGCTTTATACAATCTCTGTCCTTGTGGACTAAGGCAGACTCCACACTAGAGAATGATTATGAGCATGAGAATCTTGTGAAAGCCTTTATGTGATGTTCCAGTCTTAGGAAAAAAAAAAAAAAATTAAGACTTTACACTGAGGAAAAATTCAGGAAGTGTGACATTGTAGGAAAATTTTATTCAAGTATTTTTACTTTTTCACCCTCAAATACTTCATAATGAAGACAAAATGAAGAAGCCTGAAGAATGTGTGTTGTGTAGCAGTTTTGTGGAGCCTGAAGCATTCCATCCTTCAGGGAAACTGATTAAGATAGGAAATAAATCATTCAAAATAGCTTCAAGAATTTCCCGAAACTGACAGGATTCACTATGCTTAATACCACTGAAAAAAACTTATCAGTCTTGATGCTTAGAAGAGGCTTTGATGAATTGAGCCAGTAAAGTATGATGCCCTTCACCACATAGATATGCTGACAGGTGTGTATGCTGTGGATGTCCACTGTTCAAATGTTGTATTTCATGCTCTCTTGGAATTTCATGATGGCAACTTTTGCTCTTGTAAGCAACTCCAGTCCCTATTTATGTAAGTAACCACAATAAAGCTCATTGGTTCAATAAGATGGATTTCAGTGGCAAGTATACAAATAAAGCCTGCCTGGGGGTCAGAGAATGGAGCTTGCCACTAGCTAACCATAGAGGTCTGAAGGTCTGTACAGACAGACAGGAAGTGAGGTAGCTGGGCAGAAACAGGATATAAGTAGGGAGAAATAGGATGCTAAGGAGGTAAGGTGTGCTGTGGTTTGCTCCTTCTCTCTGATCTCTTAGCATTTCCCTCTATATCTGATTCTGGCTTTTTATTATCTAGACTAATTAAGAACTCCATTTACAGGCACGTATACTTGGTTCTGTTGCCAGTTCCCATTTTGCCTGAGTGGGTATATAAGAATGTTGTGTCTCCTCAGGAACAGTTCTCATGCAACATGTGCTGAACCCATTAGCTGTTCTTCTAAACTTGTACACCAGAAAAATCAATGTTAAGGATTAAGCATTTGATTCAACTAATGAAGGGAAGAGTGATTGTACTAACTGCTTCAGGCTTACTTCTAATAGTAGTACATGGTCCCATGGAAAGGGCTCCACACAGACAGAATGTAGAGGCTTAGTGAGCCTAAGAAAGAAGTCTACTCTCTTCCTCACATTCATGGAAGAGAGTGAGAGGTCTGCATTGGGACAAATTAAAATATGGGTGTAAGTCTGTGTTAAATATAGACACCCTCCAAACTGGGCTTTGTCTGTGCATGGCTCTGGAATCATGCTTAGACTCCACAATTCAATGACCCTTAGGACACTGATGCCCATGGATAAAAACTGAATGCCATTGTGCTATCCTCATGTCCTGCTGTACCTTAGAAATTCCAATCTACAATCCTCAACAAATGAATCAAATTCCTTTTGTAAATGCTTTACACAGTGCTAATATGTAGACATCAGAAAATTCAGCATGAAATAAAACTAAAGAGAATGATTTAGTAAAGACATATTCAGCTTAATATTGTGTGAGTCCATCCATACAGTTATCAAGAGACTATGAAGTTTTAAAGAGATGACCTATGAGCAAGAAAAGGTGCCCATGCTCATTACAGCTAAGAAATCTCCATTTTGAAGTTCTGAAAAAGGATGGTGAGGTGTTTAGTCCAATTTCAAAGTACTATATTAGAATATTGATACTAAAAATAGCAAGACTCAAAAGTTTTAGACCTTGGACAAGGTGGCAGGTTACAATGAACAGAACCATACCATTATGTAAGTATTTCATGTGTTTCAGGCCAAAAGGATAGTTATATTAAACTAATAGGGAAATATTGTTTGAGAACATTTTGGTGTTCTCAGTATGGGAGTTTATAAAAACATGAACTCAAATTGTTCTTTAGTTACAGTTATAAGAATAAAAGGTGGAGTGGTCCCGAGTGAGGGTCCCAAGTGAGTGGGATCCCAAGGTAAGGGATGACTTGGGAGAGTAGCAGGTTCCTTAGCAGGTGAGGTAGCACGGCAGAGGGAATAACACACCATGCAGATAGAGCTTGAATGAGGAGTTTATTTAGAAAGGGGAGTGAGGGAGAAGGGAAGAGACATAGAGGCACCGGGAACAGAAGAGGAGAGAGGGAGAGGGAGAGAGAGAGAGAGAGAGAGAGAGAGAGAGAGAGAGAGAGAGAGAGAGAGAGAGAGAGAGGAAGAGAAGAGGGGTGTACCTGGTGGCCAAGCAAAACCAGTCAGCATGAGTAGCACTAGGGCACAGAACCCGAAAACCTCATTCATGCAGAAAAATGAAAAACTCAAGAGTATCTTGAGCAGATGCTGCCTCAGGCCAGCCTACTGTGAGCCAATGACATCTGCACAGAGAAGAAACAATATAGGACAAACACGAGAGTAAGATATTTGAACACGAGCACAAGATGCCTAGTGGAACAGGACATTTTTAGTTGGAGGGAGGTTTTCGACCTGAGATGGGTTGCAGCTGCGGCAGGCAGGAGAGTTTTAGTATGCCGGGAAGAGAATGGAAACAGAAAAATGTAAGGAAAGAGATTGTTTAGCAGAGAGGTAGAAAAAAGCTTGGACATATGGTAACTCCTTCCATCTACCTGTTTGCTGGCAGCAATTGTGGCCAATTTGACTTATTTTCTAAAGGATAGCTAGGCCATTTCTCAATATAAAGGTAAATGAGTCTGGGTGCCTTAACAAGTGGCATTAAGTGAAAGGGTTTTAAGTATTTACAATGAAAATTGTAGGCGGTGTATTTCCAGTGGATGGAAGTGGACTGCTGGTTCATAATCAGGGTCCCCGAATGCTTCTGGCTGGCCATCCAACAGCAGGAGGCCACTGAGTTATTGAGGAGGGCCTGACCAAGTTTCCACACCAAAATGTTTTCTTTAGTTACCGTTACAAGAATAAAAGGTGAAGAAGGGGATGTGGTCCCGAGTGACAGTTCCAAGTGTGTGGGGTCCCAAGGTAAGGGACCACATGGGAGAGCATAGTAGGTTCCTTAGCAGGTGAGGGTGACCAAGGTGGGATGGAATAACACACCAGGCAGACAGAATTTAAATGAGTTTATTTAGAGAGGGGAGTGAGGGAGAAAGGAAGAGACAGAGGCAGTGGGAGCAGAAGAGAGGGGGGGGGAGAGAGAGAGGAGAGAGAGAGAAGGCAAAAAAGCATGAGTTGGCAGGGGTCTGACTTTTAAAGGGGTCCTTTACACCTGCCTGCATACTAGTACTCATGGAACCCTGGGCTGACCAGGGCACTGCCTGAGTGCATTCTGCCAGGTGACAGGGGCAGGCCAGTGTAATGCCTGAATCCTTACACAAATGGTTAGTACAATCTTCAGTAAATTCAGGCTCTTGTTGGCAAATAATAATTTGTATCAATTGCTGCTGTATCAGGGCTGATTAATCTGAGACAGGATACATTAGAAACTTAGGCTTCTGGACTGGCCCTTACAAATCTGGTGGATGCAATCAGCTGGACAGATTCTTGGGATGGATTCTGTTTCGTATCCACTCTTTTAGCCTGTGTCTTTGTACAGGTGAATTGATATCATTTATATTAATGGATATTAATGACTAGTGATTGCTAGTTCCTGTTATTTTTGTTTTTGTTGTTGGTGATGGCACTGTGTGTTCAGTTCCTTTCTTTGGGGTTTGCTGCTGTAATCTTATCCATTTCATGTGTTTATTATGGGCATAGGTTGATTTCCTTGGGTTGGTGTTTTCTAGTACTTTCTGTAGTGCTGGGTTTGTGGATAGGTATTGTTTAAATTTGGTTTTATCATGTAACATCTTGTTTTCTCCATGTATGGTTATTGAAAGCATTGCTGGGTAAAGTAGTCTGGCATCGTGGTCCCTTAGTGTCTGCATAACCTCTGACCAGGACCTTATGGCTTTTATTGTTTCCACTGAGAAGTCAGGTGTAATTCTGATAGGTCTGCCTTTATATGTCACCTGGCCTTTCTCCTTTGCAGCTCTTAATGTTCTTTATTCTGTATTCTGATTGTTTTGATTATTATATGATGAGGGGACTTTTTTTTTTTTTAAGATTAATAGTAAAATGTTTAACATTACAGGTTTTAAATTTTCTCCTGTTTGTTGTGACATGGAGGCTCCAGCTGGTTCTACTCAAGGCAAATGATTTGAAATACTTGACTACAAGTTACTTTTACTTCATTCAGTCATGACACCCACCTAGTCCACAAAATGAACATTGTCCAATTGACAAGTAACACATAAAGCTAAACAAATGAAATTATCAGAGATTAGTCTAGTGACCATTTCTTTACTTCTTTAACTGTATGTACTTCGCTTATGAAGGTAAGCTTAAAGGTAGGTAGGGATAAAGGCAAGACATGCTTTCAGGGAAAATCCTCATTTGTCTTGGGGTTCTGCCCTAAACAGAATAGCTACCTTTTTGTTCTTATTCTTGTTTTATTCTAATTTTTTTTTTTTGCATTTAGAATGGTTTTTAACATGGTATAAATCTGATGCTGTCATAACTTTAAAGTGCTACCTAGCAGATGACCTTGGTCCTTTTCTCCAGATGCTATCTTGGCCTCATCACATTTTATTCATGTCATCAATTACAAATAACTCATTAGAAAAGAAAGAGAAAAAATAAAAGCAAAAGCAGGTCATTATTTAATGAAGATTTTTAGTTTTGCACTTCTTCAGGAAGGAGGCATCAAGAGTTGTTTACTTCTTCCTTATTGTACTCACCGGCTTTGTTCCTTTGAAGAATGATGTGCAAAACAAAAGTTATTTATTTATTTTTATTTTATTTTTTGATATAAAGCTGTTGGCCTGGTACTAGCGTTTCTTATTGGCTAGCTCTGTCTTAAATTATTAACCCATTTCTATTCATCTAAGTGTTTCCATGTGGTCTTATCTTACCAGAGGGTCCAGATATCTTACTCCTCTTGCATCCTACATTTCGTCTCCTCTCTACTACATCTCCCAGAGTCCTCCTTGTGTCCTAGTCCCACCTATCTTGCTTTCCTATTAGGCCAACAATGCTTATTCATTAACCAATAAGAAAAACATATTTACAGAATGACATCTCCCACCATCTTCTCTTTTCTGCCTAAAAAAGAAGGGTTTTAACTTTAACATAGTAAAACACATAACAAAACAGTTATCAAATAAGAACGGTAGTTAACAATATTTAGTCCAGTAACATTTAGCAAGATTTAAAGTAAATATTCCATCATCTATCCTATCTTTGTGAGTCTAAAGTCTTATATGTAACTTATCTTTAATCCTAACTAAGGAATACTATAACCATAACTATCTTGTCTTCAACTCCATCAAAGACCACAGAAGGATAGTATATAAACTCTAGAAATGACAGAGAACATCTCACTGCCCGGTCAGTCACCCATAGTTCTTCTGTAATCTTCCTTCTTCAGCCTACAGGCCATAGTGTGTCTGGCAGACTCTTCATCAAAGCAGGAAATTTGAAATTTCAAATTGTCTACCTGTATTGGCAGTTTGTTAGTCATTGTGTGTGTGTGTGTGTGTGTGTGTGTGTGTGTGTGTCCTGTAGAATGACTGGCAGACTCTTTCATGGGACTTTTGCTTTCTTTGGTCCAGTCTATATGGTGTTCTGTAAGCCTCTTGTATTTTCACAGGCATGCCTTTCTTTAGGTTGGGGAAGTTTTCTTCTATGATTTTGGTGAATATATTTTCTGTCTTTGAGTTGGACTTCTCCTTCTTCTATTCCTATTATTCTTTTCATGGTATCTGCGATTTCCTGCATGCGGAGGGTTTGTTGGATTTAAATTTTCTTTGACCAAT